TGATGGACCTCTTTACACTCTGCAGGTTGCTACCAAGGCACACCTTCGAAAGTTGCCCCCTCATCATTGCAATGCTCCCCGCACTTCCCGGGTCTTGTCCCTGGCACAGGGCCTGCCACTCCCACCACACTGGCTCTTCCTGAGCCGCACAGACCTTACTCCCCATGTGAACTTAGACTGGTCGGCCTTTCTTGTCTCCGGTTGTAAAATGGGGATGATAATGATGGTGCCCGGTCTGTCCTGCGTCACCTCAGCACACCACACATCCTCCTCACTTCCTTTTCTAGCACCCCCATTTCTCCATCCAGGGGCTGGCCTGGCCTGGAATTTTCAGAAGTGGTTCCTGAGGCTACAGCTGTGGGGTCATGTGGGGGAGTCAGGGAGCAGAGGCATTGGGCGTGGAGGGGGCATCAAGTACTGTCTGCCCGATATATGGATGTCCGTGGTCAGGTATCCCTGCCCATCTTCCAGTTGACTGTCCACCGCACACTCCAGAGGGGAGCGTGTGATTCAGGATGGTGGGTCAGACCCAGTGACTGCGTCGGCAATGGACACACGACCCAAGTTGGTCCAATGGGTGTCAGTCCTGGGACTTTTGCTGGAACCATTAAGAAAGTCCTTAGTGGGGCTGCTGAGCTGGCAGGATGTGGGCCTGGAGCCGGCTGAGGGGCGTCTTTGCTGATAATGGGGAGAGTTGCCTGAGAATAAGGCCAGCGCTGAGAAAAGCAGATCGGAGAGATGGAGAGAGAGAGTGTGAGCCTGGGGAGGTGGGTGCAGAAAGGGAGCTGAGAGGGACTGCTGATAACCTCATCACATCCATGGGTACTGGATCCTGCCATGACTGAAGCCATTAACGTTTTCAGTGACATGAGACAAACTATCCCTGTTTTTGCTTAAACAAGTTTGAATTGCAGGCGAAAGAGTCCTTCCTAGTTAATCTAGTCCTCAAGAAGTGATCGTTTTTGTCAGTGGCAAGGGACGTGGATGAAAGCTGAGTTGACCTAGTGCCCCTGGGCCCTGAGCAGGAGAACCCAGGCTGGCCCTGGGACCCTCCCTGGCCACTCTGCAGTGACCTAGCTGCACAGTCTCCCAGGGCTGGCCCTGGCCTCCTGAGTTCTCTGCAGGCTCCCAGCAAGCTCCTTCTTGCCCCACCATGGCCCTGGAACCCTACCCCACCTCCTACTTTAGGTCCTAATTGGGGAGGAGCTCTTCCTCTACTCTCAGGTTTGGCTTTGGACTCAGAACAACTCAGGTTCGAATCCCAATCCCGGCTGCTGCTTCCTGTGTGCCATGGGGCCGGGCCCTTTAGCCCCTTCCCAAAGCAGGGTCGTGGATACCTCGTTCCAAGGCCATGTGGGGCTCAGCACTGAGAAGGCAGCACCAGAATCGTCAGTTCCTGCCTGTGTACCCTGTACTCCTGCGAAACAGTCCCTCGCCCTCCACCGCCTCTCTCCCTGCTGACTTCAAATGAGCTCAAGCCGCTCAGAGCTGGAAAAAAGCCCTTCCCTGGCCTGCCGTCTCTCCAGTTGCCCACTCAGCCCCCTGCCAGGGGCTCTGCCCCCTCAGCTGGGGATACTGCACTCTTCAAGGGCGCTAATGGCCTCCCCTGCCTGGTACAAAGACATCTCCTGGTACCCTTGGCCTCCACCGCTTTGCCTCGCACCTAAGCCCGGGAACACTGTGATCCCTGCAGCTCAATGCCTGAAGGGAGGTGGCTGGGAGGTACAGTGGGAAGCACCTTGGCCTTGGATCTTTGGATCAGCAGACCTGGGCCATTCTGGCTGGGTGGCTCTGGACAGGTCACTTTCCCTCTCTGAGCCGCAGGTTCTCATCTGAAACATGCCTTTAATGACATCTCTCTTAAGCATGTTTTGTTTTGTTTTGCAGATTATGGCGGTTTTTTTCTTTTTTTTGAATGGAGGTACTGGGGATTGAACCCAGGATGTTTTTGGTTTTTTTCCTTAAGCATGTTTTGATGATTAAATGACATCTAAGCGATTGCTCTGCAGTTCCCAGCAGAGAGACTGGTGGCCATTCGAAGCAGGTGCCCGCCCCATGCTTGTTTTTACTTCCATCAAGGCCAGCTCTGCTTTCCCGAGATTCAAGATTCAGTCCCCAGCACTCTGCTGTCCCCTTACATCCACCCTCCACCTCCTTCCTCAGCCACTTTCCCCAGGCAGAAGCCTCCAGCCTTCCCCCTCCACGCCGCTGGGCTGGCTGCTCGCTCCGCTGAGACGCTGAGACCGGGGCTGCCGGTGGTCCTCTGGGCCTGCTACAGCGCAGCCTCTTAAGACAGCTGTCTACACCCTCTCACCTCCACCCTCGACACCCTCCCCTTGTTCCTCTCACCCTGGCACCAGCCCCAACTCTCTGCTAAACTGATCTGGCAAACGTCACCTTGTTGCACAACGCCTTGGGGACTCCTTGGCCTTATCTGGCTGGTTGACACTCTCAGACTTCCGGCAGCACTCCTGCCCCGCCCCGGCTTCCCTGCCCTGGGCTCTCTCGGAGGCTGTTGTCCTCCGCCTCTGGCCGGCCCTTCTGCTTTCTCTGCCCTCCGCTGCTGCTGCTTTCTGTCTCTCAGCTCTTCTCTGTGCTGGGGCCTTGGCCGTCCTCACGCTGGATTTGGCACGTTTATTATTTTTTAATAGGATTTTTAAAAAATCTATCTTAGTTGCCAATATTGAAAAACCAGATTCTGGACGCTGTTGGTAAACTGGCAGATCTGGCCACAGCGCAGCATTCCCACCAGGCTGCCCCCAGAAGGCTCCCCACAGACGGCTCCCAGCGGCACTCGCCATGCGCGCTGGGCTCTTGCTTGCTTGTATCCATGGAAACCAAGGATGGACTGAGAGGGCTTCAAGGTTCAAGAGAAGTTGGAGAGAGTACATTTCTTTGTGGAAGTGAAAGATACTCTGTGTTTAATACACCAGGGAAGTCTGGGTTGAAAGAAGACCGAATCCTACCTGTTTCACTCTTGCTATGAGCTGCCTGGGCCCTTCTCTGGGCATCAGTGACAAGCTTCTGTGACAACTGTCCCGAACCTGCCCCAGACTCACTCCCGAACTGAATCCAAGGTAAATCTAGACTTGAATCTTCTGCCACTCCTTGAATTTGTCTCCTAAATGTCCCACAGGCAACTCATCCAGTCATCCAGCAAACACTGGGCGTCTATCATGTGCCAGGCACTGTTCTAGGCACTGGCAAGACATCATGAGACAGACAAGGAGCCCAGCACTCGTGCTCCAGGAGTCCTCAAGCGGACATAACAGAGAGGACCCTGTCTTCTTAAAGGGGACACAGAATGCCCACAACCTCAGGTGTGCTGAAGGTCCTTGTGCCAGGGAGCCCCAAAGGACAGGTGGCCAAGCCTAGTCTGGAGCCTCTCCTCAGTCTCCCTCCAGTCTAAGCTTGGAGAGGAGAAATGACAGTCCCTCGGGGTGATGGAGGGCACCAGTGGGAAGCAGGAAGCCCCGGGGAGAGACGGAGCCACCACCAGAGCTGCCAGGTTCTGAGGAAGCAGACAGAGTGGGCTTCCGAGGGGGCATCCCTGGTGCACAGCACTCAGTGCCAGCCAGTCCCAGGACAGCGCACCAGCTTCGGGCCGGGCTTCTAGTCTGGCTCATGGCTCAGTGCCTGTGCGACCTTGGTCAGGTCTCCTGAGCTTTCATCTGTAAAATGAGAGTAACTTGCAGACACCTCACAGGGTTGCTGTGAGGATCTCGCGAGATGAAACAAGGAATGGCTGGTATATTCCGGATGCCCAGCAAACCTGCCTGCCTTCCTCTCCTTACCCCTCACGCCCCAGGTTTCCACTCTAGGCTCCCTTGGACGTGTCTCTGGGTCCCAACTCTGCCATGTCGCTTTCTGCTCCTCCCTTCCCCTGGCCGCTCGTCCCAGTCTCCCTCCTCCTGTCCACCCTGCTCACGGCTCTGGGGCTCTTTCTACGACACAAATCTGAACTCTTCTGTGCCCTGCTCTCCCCACCCCCACCCTGCCCTCAGAAGGCAGTCCTGGCTCCTCAGCCCAGGGCTTCTGGTCTCCCAGGACCTGGGGGCTGGCCTCTCCAGCCTGACCTTCTTTGGCTGCAGCACACAGATGGCAACAGGGCCACCAGGATGGCCACCCTGGGAAAACTTAATCTCCACCCTGCTATGTGCCTCAGATCCCGCCTTTTTTTTTTTTTAAAGAGGTACTGGGGATTGAACCCAGGACCTTGTGCATGTTAAGCACACACTCTACCACTGAGCTATTACCCTAACCCCAGAGCCCACCTTTCTTGATGCGTAGGGGTAAGTGGACAAGGGACACAGCTGGATACAGATTTATTGTGGCACTGGATGTGAACAGGGGCCGGTGTGGCCAGCACCAGTGTGCAGTGGTGGTGAAGGGGGGTGGGGGGAGGTGAAGGGGGTGGGGCAGGGTCCTGGGAACCCCAGGCTCAGGCCAGGAGTCGGGGTTGGGGCAACTTTTGCTAGCCCTACCCAGAAATCTGGGGCGATGACTCCAGAACCAGGGCCCCTCCGGCAGGCATGGCCGGCAGCAATGGGCGGGAGGGGCTCACACGTGGGAGAAGGCGTGGCTCTTGCACAGGGGCTTGTCCTTCTTGGAGTAGAAAGTCTTTCCTTCCAGGTTGATCTGACATATCTGGGGACAGCCAAGCTCCAGTCACATGGGGTTGACGGGGAGGCAGGAGAGACAACTTCCCAACCACTCAGGAGCCCCAGAGGCAGGGGTGGGAGGGAGGCTGACCTGAGTCAGAGAAGGGGCACTCACCGCGCACACGAAGCATGTATCGTGCCAGCTGAAGCCCAGCGCCTCCAGGAAGCGGTCCCCAGCATCAATCTTGAAGTCACAGCCTCGGCATTTTGTGCCAAACATCTTCTCATAGTCTAGGGACATACAGAGAGGAGGGGGGCGCCAGGTTCTCCCCTGTCCACGCCTTGCCCACCCCCTCGCCGGTCCCGCCCCATACCTCGCTCGCAGTAGGGCGCCCCTTCCTCCATGTAGAAGGCCCTGTTCCGAATGGGTGTCTTGCAGGCCGCGCAGGTGAAGCAATGCACGTGCCAGGTCATCTTCAGGGCGTGCATGATCTCCTGGGAGGAAGCGACAGTCACTCGACAGCTCAGCACCCCCCACTCCAGAGCCCAGAACACAGAAAGGCAGGCTTGGGCCTGCTCTCTTTCACGGTCAGTGTTACCTCTGCACACCCACTGCTTCTGCTCTCTCCAACCCTGAGGTCTCCCTGTGGATGCCCGCTGTGCCACGTTTAACGCTCAGCTCCCAATCTCTGCACGGCAAACTGCTGGCGTTCCCACAGCTGTCTCCACCTCAGCTGGTGGCAACTCCATCCTTCCACCTGCACGGCCAAATTCCCGGCTTCCTCCTCCACCCTGCTTCAGGCCCACCAGGAAATCCTGCTGGGTCCACCTTCAAGATGCTTCCAGATTCTGACCACTTCTCACAGCCTCCTCAGTGCGGGATGGGAGCCTCAGGCACCCCTGGTCCGGCTGACTGCACAAAACTGGCTTCTGCACTCCTCCCTCAGCCACTACATACTGATGTCAGCTTGTGCCCCACCTGCTCCACACTTCTCTGAGCAACAGCTAAAGCCTTGGGAAGGGCCTGGAGGCCGGCAAGTCTGGCCTCTGTCCCTCTGCTCTCCCCACTGGCCTCTCACCCATGGCTGACACAACAGTAACGCCCATCTTAGGGCTTCACACCAGCTGTCCCCTTTACCTGGACTGCTCTGCCCCAGGTATCTGCAAGGCTCAGCCTTCACCTCCTTCCAGTTTCTGCTCAAATGCCACCTTCTCCATGCGGCCCACTCCGACACCCCCAGTTCATACTCCAACTTGCCTTCGCAATGCCATGATCCCAAGAGCTCGAACTCTGCGCTTTCCTTTTTTCCATGCTAAAACACTACCAGGTAATTTATCTATTGTGTGTATTGCTGCCTTCCCCCCTTCTTCCTGCTCCAGTGTGAGGTCCAGGAGGGCATGAAGTATCAGCTGTTCTGTCAGCGGATACGTCCCGGCAGGCCCTGGCCTGTGCACGTGCATCACAAGTGCACCTGAGCTGAATTAACCTGCTCCCCAGGAGGCCTGACAAACAGGGGCTCACTGATGGGCTGAGCTCTCCCTAGGGCTGGGATCCTTGGGCCAGCCAGGCAGCAGCATTCACACCTGGAGCAGACAGAGGGCGCTATGGAGCCTGGAGAGGGGTCAGATCTGTGGGTTCAGACAGACCCTGCTTCTTAGCTGGGTGGCTTGGCCAACAGTTTCATCTTCTCTTGACATTTGGCTCCTTCCCTCTGCGAACTGGGAACCTCACCCCAGCTTTGCAGGGTTGTTGTGAGGATGGCCCTGCGCCTGAAGCCAGGGGTCCCCGACTCAGCGCCTACACCACGGGGCAGGTGGGGGCTGTGTCGTGGGGGAGCACTTGTCTGCCAGCAGGTCTGGTGCTTGACCGGTTCATTCAGGAAGGCAGCGCAGGTTGAAATGTAAGTGTTAAAGTGAAATCTGAGTTTTCCAATGTTGGCCAGTAATTTGAAAATGAAACCATGTGACTCAAGCAAGCTGTAGGCGTGGGAGGCACCTAGGAGGCAGGTGTCCGCCCATATCCAGAACCCGCGAGCCAGTTCTCATGTCTATCCTACCCCTGAAGGTTCCTAAACCTGTCTGCCTTTCCTGTCCCCACCGTCCTGACCCAGGCCCAACTCAGATCCACTCCTCTGGCTGTCTCCCACGGTCGCGAGGAAGCGGGCGAGGTACATCTGACCTCATCAGTCCCCAGCTTCAAACTTCCAGCCCAGCCCTGGCCCCCTTCTTCTGCCTCATCTCACACCCTCCCCGGGTGTTGCCTTATGACACCAGCCATTCCCTCTGCCTGGAGCATCCTCCCCTGATCCTTCTCCAAGCTAATTCCTACTCATGTTTTAAGTTCAGCTTAGAGACCACTTCCATCCACTCCTTCAAGTGTTTACTGACCACTTCCTATATACTGGGCGTAGCATAATGTGTGAACAAAACAGCCCTGGTCCCAGCCCATGGAGTTAAGCCCCGGGGAAGAGATGGGACCAAAGGACGGGGGGGGTAGTGAGCAAAATGTGGGGAGCCTGGCCTTGGGGGGAGGGTGGGTATCAGGGAAAGTGCCCCTGAGGAAGAGCTATATGAGTCCCAGATGGGAAGGAATGAGGTAAAGAGAGTACTAAAGAGTGTTTCTAGCAGAGAGGACAGCCTGTGCAAAGGCCCTGTGCAGAGGGGAACGGCACACTGGCAAAATGGAGCAGCCCATGTGGCTGGAGCACCAGACTGAGGGGGGCTGATGGTGAGTGGTGAGCCTTGAGAGCACAAGGTTCCAGAGGGTCCCCAGACCAGGACAGATCCCCTTGTCCCCTCTAATGTGTCCCCCCATCTCCCAGCCTCCTTCCAACTCCACTGAAGCAATCTAATTGTCCTGTGTTTCTCTCCCTACTCTCCACTCGGAGCTGAAGAGCAGGCGGTCCCTAGCACTGAGCACAGGCAGGGCCAAAGCTCAAGGCAAGTTGGGAAGGGTAGCCTTCCGCCCCTTAGGAGGGGGAGGTGGGGGCTCCCTGGTGCCTGTCAGGCCCTGGAGTCCTTGCGAGAGAGAAGCTGAGGGCCCCTGGGCCACTCTGTGGAGCCACTGGCCTGGGCTGGGGCAGGAGCAGGGCCTGCCCCCTTACTCTGGGCCTACTCTAGGACCCAGCAGCCAGGCAGGCCCTGTGAGCCTTGGCTCCTCATGTGTGGCCTGGGTGATAACCCTGCCCACCCAGAACTGGGGCAGGGCGGGACAACAGTGTGGTGTAACGCAGGCAGAGCCGTCAGCGAACAGCAGGCCCTTGATCCGTGGGAAGCAAACCCAGAGGCCCGCCTGGGATCCAGCCCATTCCGCTAGAACAGTCCAACAGGGCGTGGCCTCGGCTGATGGGGAAGTGATTGCGTAATAACCAAACTGACTCCGCAGTATGATTGTGAAGCTGGATGCCTACACACAGTAAGTGCTCACAATGTAAACTGTTATTATCATGGTAAAGACTGTGATCATGTCCATTCTCCCCTTCCCATCTACTGATGGAATTCCCAGTTTCTTCCTGGGCAGGCACATAGGCGTACCAAACAGACTATATTCCCAGCCTCCCTTGCAGCTCAGCATTGTCACGTGACTGAGTTCTGGCAGGTGTGATGGAAGCGAAAGGGCTGGGTGGCAGCATCTTCTAAAGGTGGCACCCATGGACCTCCCACCCCTTCTTCCCTTTCCAACTTCCCGCAGGTTGGAAGGTGGAAATTTTACCTGAGGCTCAAAAATCATTTGGACTATGAGCAGTAAGTAAGCCAATGCTGAGAATGTCAGAGAAACAAGACACAGGAGCCTGGATCTGCCTCCAAGTCCCCGACTGCCCACCTCTGGACTTTCTTAGGTGAGAAGCAGCTGCCATTGTTTTGAGTTTTCCATCACTTGTGGTCAAGGGAGTTGTCATTAATATGAACACCACCACAGAGCTCTCTAGCCACATCTGGAAGCTCTGCCCAGGGTTCCAGAAATAGGGAGAAGCATGGGTGGCAGGAAGACCCCAAGCTGGAAGTCAGCAGAGCCTGAGGCTGCTCTGGCTCGGCCCTCATGCTGTGCAACCCTGGGCAGTTTCTGCCCCTCTCTGGGCTTCAGTTTCCCTACAGGAACTGGAACCCCCTCAACTTGTCACCCTGCCTGTTCTGCGTAGCCCTTGACACCCTCTGAGTTCCCCTCCACAGGGTGAACTCCTGGGGACAGGGCCATGCCTGTCTCTTCACGAGGTGTCCCCAGCATGGGGCACATTGCCCACGTTCAACAAAGAAAACAAAGGGGGGAAGGTCGACAGCGCATCACTCTTAGCCCATGACATGCGCTGACCCAAGTCCCCAGCCCAGCTCCGGTGGCAGCTAGGCTGCCCTGCAGGAAACCTGGCCGGGCCAAGCTGTGCTTAGCCCCAGTGGGAAGAATAGGATTTTGAATCACAAGTTTTTGAGCCTGAATTTCTGCCTCTGCTGATGAGCAGTCCTGTGCCCTTCAAGAACATCACGTCATCTTCCAGAGGCTCCATTTCCTTGTGCCTTGGGGTGGCGGACACTGGACTAGCCTCTCAAAAGCTTGCCACAACCGCCTTCTCTTCTTTGTTCCTCTCTTATGGAGGATGGAAGCTAAAACATGGGAGTTGCCAGCTTCCCCCGCGGCCCAGGTGCTCACAGGATAACAATTCCAACCACCAAGATAGAGATGCGAGTTCCTGGTTTCCCTTCCCGTGTCAAAAAGCAAAACCTCGTTAAGAGAAAGCATGTGTCCCTTCCCTCTCCCTCCTGCCTGCAACAAGACACAGGCCTGGGGCGTGAGCCGTCATCTGGCAATCATGATAATGACAAACTTTGGGACAGAGGCGTACATGCTAAGGATTCCGGAACGAAAAGACAGGAAAAGCCCAAAGGCATCCTTGAGCTGCTATCCCACCCCTGGAATTCTTGTGACTGAACTGTCACCCCTTCTGTTTCAACCCCTGTAGCGGGGTTTTCTATCATCAGAGCTGAGTGCAATCCCAACACAGTACCCGTCTCTTGTTTTGGCCTGACCAGCACTTGCCTCCCTTCTTTGGGTAACGTCATCCTGGTTTTATTTCAGGGAACCAGTCCCGTGGTTCAGGCGAGGCCACCAGATCCCCACTCCAAGGGTGGGGGTCACCCAGGCCTGGCCAATTAGAGTCCCAGGGCTTGGTTCCGAGATGGGCTTGTGATGCAAGCCAGGCCAGTGAGCACGAGCATGGGGACTCCGCATGCACCAGCCGGCAGAGGTGTCCTCGCTCACCTTGTGGTGCTAACCCTGCAGCCGCCGGGGCACCATCTTGGCCACTTTCTAGGGAAAAGCATGCTGGGAATGAAGCCAACACAGACGAAGCCAGAGGTAAGTGGCAGACAGACTCCTAATGACCTCAGGACCTGCATTCAGCTGGGCCTGAAGTGAGCACCCCTTGGCTTTTCTGATTATTTGCACCAGTACTCTCTTCCTTGAACCCTTTTGAATAGAATTTGGGTCATTTGTTAAGAGGATCCTGGCTAATGCAGAGTGAGGTCAGAATAGCATCCCTATCGTTAGGCTGCTGAGGTCCCCAAGGGCTCATCAGGGAGTGCCCAAGGCCCAGCAGTTGCTCGGCAACACTGCTCAGTGCTCACCGGTCGTGTCCGCCTGCCCCCCACCCGCCAACCTCACTCACGCCTGTGATCTTCTTCTTGCACTTGGCACAGCTGGGTGCGTAGCGCACGTCATAGCAGGGCGGGCAGAAGATAGCGCCCTTCTCCTCGAAGAAGCCACCCTCTTCCAGGACCTTCCCACACTGGCTGCACACGAACTCCTCGGGGTGGTACGCGTGGCCCAGCGCCACCAGGTAGCGGCCCCTGAGGAGGAGGCAGGAGCGGTGAGTGGGGAGAGGATGCAAATGAGCTAGGGGCTCCTGGCCGGCGCGCAAGGGGGTTTACTGAACAACAGTTCTGAAACCTTGAAGGAAAAATGAATTCTCTCCATCTCCAAAGAAGGGAGAAACAGGCCTGGGAGGTGACTTGCCCAAGGTCACACAGCACGAGTGAGGAAGCCGCACTGTTCTGATGACAGGAGATGAGGGAGGGGGCGGCGCTGGAACAGGGAGGAGGGTCATACTGGGTGGGGGCTGCTGACTGGGGCCTCAAGCTGAAACAAAGGAACTGGTGCCCTGTGGGACAGGAGGCCTGGAGCACCCCTGAGCCCAAAGACCAGTGGGCACCTGAGCTGGCTCTGTTTCATCTGGCCTGAGGTAGGGCCTGCAGGTCTCAGATAAATGGGGCTGTCTGAAGAAAAGGAAGTTTCATGGAGGCTAAGAGCTGACAGGAGTCGACAGCAGGGCAGGGCCCGGGATGAGAACTAGGAAGGCTCTAGAATGTGTCACACTGATTCTGGGGGCGCCAGTGCCTCCGCTGGGCCCTGGGGAGCAGTGCCAAGAGGAAGCAACCTCTGGCCTGTCTGCTCCAGGAGCAGACGCTTAGCAGAGAGAAACCGAGCGAGCAGGAGGGAGAGAGGCCGAGGGGCTGGGAGCGGGCAGGCCCTTCCTCGCCCAGAGAGCAGCGAGTCCAGGGCTGCCGCTTGGCTGTGTCGTTGGCACCTCCTCCATTCCACCGAGGCAAATGCTGACAGAGGCTGATGAGGGGTGGGGTGGGGGTGAGTAATGGAGGATTCAGACTTTGAGGACCCAGGCCAGGTCCCTCCCGCACTCCAACTGGGAACTGAATCCTCCTCCTCCCACAGGGGCAGCTGAGATGAGTGGGGAGATGGATGGGAGAGCTGAGGTTGGGAAGACACCAGGGCTGGACTTCAGGTCAGGAAAGGCCAGAGTAGGAAAGGAACAGGGCCACCCACCGGATGACCTTGTGGCACTGGTGGCACACGGGAGTCTTGCCGTTGCTGCCACCGACCCCTCCAGGGCCCCCTCCGGCAGCTGCCTGCACAATGGAGGTGCGGTTCTGCAGAGGTGTGGGTGTGGCTGGCTGGGTGTGCCGGGTCAGCACCGTGCTGGTCTTGTCCGGGGCGTAGCGTTCAGCAAATGCAGGGTCCACAGCCCAGGGTGGGCGGCTGGTGGGGCTGGGGGTGGTAGGGCCTGCCGAGGCCAGGAAAGTGGCTCCAGGGGGACCCCACGGGAAAGCAGGGAGAGCCCAGGGCAGCTTGGAGGGGCCCACCCCCCTTAACATGCCCCTGGAGGTTACCCACCCTTCCCCAGGCCCAAGCCCACTCTCTCTCACCAGGCCAGGGTTCCTGGGGTGTAGCTGAGGCTGGGGCTGGGGCTTCTGTCCTGGGCACCTGGCTGCAAGATCTGCCATTCAAGGCCCTGCACGGCGGAGGCTCCTGGCATGGCCCCACCCCACCACGGTCCTGCTGGCCCCATGGGAGATGCCTGGGTGCACAAGAGCTGCTGGGTGGGACTCCAGGTCCCACTGGGGTAGGGATGGGTAGGGCGGCTTCTGTTAGCCAGGTTCTAGCTGGCTGGTCTGTTGCACAAGACTAGGAGGTGGAGCATGGCTCTTGCTTCTGGGACAGCTCTTGGGGCTCTTTCTGGTGGCTGGGCCCCCTTTGCTAGGTACCCCCATCCACTGAGACCCAGAGTGACAGGGCCCACATTGGATCTAAACCAATCTAACATCCCCAACGCAAACCAAGCCCACAAAGATAGAAGACAGAGGCAGAGAAAGCAGGGCTGAGAATGTTTATTTTCATGCTTAAGCCGGCACAGACCTGGCAGAGAGCAGTACCACAGGGCAAAGAGGGAAGGCAGTGTCAGATGGAGCCGGGCCCTGGGCCAGGAGGGTGGCTAGGGCCAGGCCAGCAGGAGGCTCAGTCCAGGGGCAGGAAAGCAGTGGGTGAGGTAGGCAGAAGCTGGAGGCACCGAAGGGGGGGGTGCCCTAGGTGGAGGAACAGAAAGAGAGAGGCAGAGAGGGCAGCCGGCCGGCGACGGCCAGGCTAGGACTGCACGTTGAGCACGTGGGCAGAGCGCTGGTGGTGCCAGTCCCGGAGGCGGGTGTAGCGTGGGCTCTGCAGCTCCAGGACATACTTTTCCCTGAGGGACAGAGAGAGAAGGAGGAGGAAGTGGAAGGAAAGAAAGACGGAAGGGAGAAAGGAGAGAGAGAAGAGAGGAGGAATGAGAGCTGCAGGCAGCAGGAGCAGACACGAGGCGGTGGCGTGGAGAGGAGAGGAGAGAGGAGAGAAGAAGGAGAGG